GTGCCCAGTATTCAACTTTTTTGGTCTTAAAGGTTCCTCTGGACTCAAACTTTGTTCTACAAATTTTGTTGGATCTTTAAGGCGCTACTGGACTCTTGTTGTTTACTACTGGCTTTTTATCAGGTGCCGAACGCTTTGTTCATGTTCTCTTAACTCACACCTATGTTTCCCTCAGATACCCCCTGGGAAGGGATTTAATGAAAAGTGGCTTTGGTCAACATTTGTGGGGGAAAATCCAGAATTTTATGGTTAGACCCAAGCACCTTTTCCACTGGTGACCATGGGACCATGTGCAGGATGGGGGGTACAGCAAGGCTGGTAATAGCGTGAGACTGAGCAAAGCAGCTAGCTGGATCTCAACCCCTGAACACACGTGATGCTGTCTTATACTGACTGAGATTGGTGGTCCATCATGATCAATATTGTCTACTCGGACTAGCAGCAGCTCTCAAGGGTCTCAGGCAGAGGTCTTTCTTGTCACCTGCCACCAGATCCTTTCAACGGGTGATGTCGGGGATTGAACCTGCAGCCTTCTGCATGCAAACCAGAAGCTCTTCCACTGGGCCACAGACCCTCCCCAGTACACACGACATTGCTTTACACTGAATCAGGCCCTGGTTCCATCATAATGGATCAGGCCGATGGCCCGTCCAGATCAACACTCTGTGTCACACAATGGCCAAAACCCAGGTGCCATCAGGAGGTCCACCAGTGGGGCCAGAACTCCAGAAGCCCCTCCCATTGTTGCCCCCCCCCAAGCACCAAGAATACAGAGCGTCCCTTGCCCCAGGCAGTGTTCCGTCTATACCACCGGTTCCCAAAGTTGGCAATACCGCCCCCTGGTGGGCGCTGGAACAATCCAGGTGGGCTGGAACGATCCAGGTGCAGATCCACAAACTGCACCTTTTTGTCCACTTCTTGAAGGTAATTTCCAGGGGGGCGCGGAGCACTGTTCCCTCTAAGCTGAGTTAGTGTGAGCTAGCTCACAGTTTTTTAACCTCTGGCTCACATACTTTTGTCTTAGCTCAGGAAGGGATGGCTCCAGAGCAAGCTAATCTATGCAGCAGCCAAATCGCTCGCTCACAACTTTAATGCCAGTAGCTCACAAAGTAGAATTTTTGCTCACAAGACTCCACAGCTTAGAGGGAACGTTGCCGCTGAGTAATTATTATTTTTCCTGAAAGGGGGCGGTAGGCCACATAAGTTTGGGAACCTCTGATCTAGACCTTGTGGCTAATAGCCACTGATGAACTTCTGATCCGTGTTTATTCAGTCCCCTCTTGAAGCTGTCTATGCTTGTGGCCACCACTTCTCCAGGGTCTCAGGCTGAGGTCTTTCCCATCACCCACTGCCGGATCTTTTAACTGGAGATGCCGGGGATTGAACCTGGGACCTTCAGCATGCCACGCAGATGCTCTGCCACTGATCCACGGCCCCTCCCCCTTAGTGTACAACATCCATTATATGACCCCAAAAAAACATTTTGAAGGGGAAAAATAAACCCTCATTTGAAGAACGCGCTATACGAGCTAGTTTTATTTTTAGACCGTGTCGATATTTCAGAAATTAAATGAATCGACGTCTCCACCCGCTCCGGTTTGGCTCTGTCGCTGACGCTAGGACCCAAAAGAACGTGTGTATGTGGGGGGGGGGGAGGCTTAGCCAAGAGCAGTCTGTGCAAACCATTAAGGTATTGCAATTTAGCTTCATTTCAGCAATGGACTCTGCTTTCAAAACAATGAAGCGGCACAGCGGCCAGGGAGCAACAGGCCGACCTTGTGCCGGGCAACTATCGGGGCACAGCTTTTCTTCTGAAAAAGGAGGGAGGGGATAAGCAAGGGAGGAGAGAGATCAGTCTCACAAAATTAGAGACTTTAAAATAAAAATAAGGAAATGCAGTTAATCCTCAACTGAAGAGATGGCTAATGGCTTTGGTTGAGTGGTCAAGTTTGGTGTAGTGGTTAAGTGCGCGGACTCTGATCTGGGAGAACCGGGTATGATTCCCCACTTGCACCTGGCTGGATGACCTTGGGCAAGCCATAGTTCTGTCAGAGCTGGTCCCTCTAGGACAGTTCTGTCAAGAGCTCTCTCAGCCCCCCCTACCTCACAGGGTGTCTGTTGTGGGGAGGGGAAGGGAAAGGAGATTGTAAGCCGCTCTGAGACACCTTCGGGTAGTGAAGGGCGGGGTATAAATCCAATCTCTTCCTCTTCCTCTCTTTAACTGCTCATGGCGGTGGAAAGGGCCATCAAGTCACAGGTGACTTATGGGGACCATGTAGCGCAGGGGTGTCAAACATAAGGCCCGGGGGGGGGCGTAACCGGCCCACCCAGGCCTCTTGCCTGGCCCGCAAGCTACTGGTATGTATAGAAATGTAAGGTACTCCCCATTTTATGGTATCCCTTGGGGGGGAAAACTAGTCTTGATTAAAGACATTTATTGGGGCTTTTCTGGGTTCCCCAGTAAATCAATGGCTTTCACTGCTAGAAATCAATTGTTTTTGTTTGTATTTTGAGTTTTTAAAAAGTAATATTGTTCATTGGGTTTGTCTGTGTCCTTTATAAAGTTTATATCTTTGATACCTGGCGCCAGGGGTCATTTCCTGCGGGAGCGCACAGGAGCGGAGCTCCGGCAGTAAGGAGCCCAGGGGGCGGGCACATGCAACAAGCTCCGCCCCCTGCTCCCAGCAGCCCTCGGTTGGGCCACGAGGAAAAGCAGCCAGGTAAGTTGCAGAGCCACCCACAGCACACCTTCAGGTACAAGCTCTCCCTCCTCTGTGAGGACAGACCTGCGCGTCCCCATCCTCCCCCATAGCTAGCAATCCAAAACAGTCCAGTAGAGCCTGAGTGGTGGGTGTTGCCTTCTGACACACTTCCAGTGATGTCAAGGGGCGTGGCATATGCAAATATGTTATGCTAATATATTATGCTAATGAGCTCCTGAACCTCTTTTTCTACTAAATGACCCCTGCCTGGCGCTATATTTTATGGCATGCATGGCCCGGCCCAACAAAGTGACATTTATTTCAGATCTGGCCCTCATGACAAATGAGTTCCGACACCTCTGCTGCAGGGCTTTCAAGGCAAGAGGTTGTTCAGAGGTCGTTTGTCACTGCATGGCTGCCCTGAGTCCACTCGTGGGATGGGGGTATAAATTAAATGAATAATCATCCTGGACTTCCGTGGTGGCCTCCTGTCCAAATACTGACCAGATACGCTTTTAGACTAACCCTTGGCTGCAGATTCGAGCCAGACAGGAAATGCTGCTTTGTGTAACAGGTGTCTGCGTTGGGGGAACTCACTCGCAAAGTGTGTGAACGGCCGCTGGCTTGTGGGTGTGTTAAGGGCCGTCAAGTCGCAGCCAACTTAGGGCTACCCCGCAGGGGTTTCAAGGCAAGTGGCTCAGCAGAGGTGGCTTTGCCATGGCCTGCCCCTGCACAGCAACCCTGGACTTCCTCTGTGGTCTCCCATCCAAGTACTGACGGGGGCCGACCCCGGTTAGCTTCCGAGATCTGTTGAAGACGGGCTAGCCTGGGCCGTCCGGGTCAGAGCAAACTGCCTTGAACAGACCGTGAAGGTCAGTATTGTCTACACAGACTGGCAGCGGTTCTCTGGGTTCTCGGGCCGAGGTCTTTCTTATCATCTATTACCTGATTCTTTGAGCCGGTTTGGTACGGTGGTTAAAAGAGGTGGACTCTGATCTGGAGAACCGTCTCCGATCCACCTCCACTCCCCTGCGTGAAGCCAGGGGGGTGAGCCTGGGTCAGTCACCGCTCTCTCAGCCCCCCAAAAATATCAACCTAGCTCGCCACGAGAGAGCTATTTCCGGGCTGCCAGGCAATCTTCAGATCTCCTGGCTACACCACGACCACTCCCTTCCGATAGTTATTAATCGCCTGATTCTTTTAACTGGAAATGTCAGGGATGGAACCTGGGCTAGGACACTTCTGCATGCCAACCGGATGCCCTACCGCTGAGCCACACAGCTCCCTCCCCAAACATCCTACTCAAAGCCTCTGCTGTACTTTCCGCCCAGCGAGATGGGTCCCGCGTTACTCTTTTAGCATGGCTGCTCTCGTCCCCTGGCTCTCCCAGATCCTAGTTTGACACTCCGAGCCACTATACTACACGAGGGCTACCACATCCCCGGGCAGGGGCTTGCCCGCTTTAGGGGCCCCGATCCACCAGCCCGGAGCCTGCTGGCAGGGGGAACCGGGCCGACGTGCCCGGCGCGATGACGTCACCCAGAGGTAACGTCATTACTCCGGGCATGTTGTCAGGGGGACGCTCTAGCATTCGGCCTGAAAACTCTACGGTATCATAGAGTTTTCTAGCCGAATGCTAGAGCGTGTCCCCCTGGTGATGTGCCTAGCACGATGACATCACTTCTGGGTGATGTCATCATGGCACGTGCACCCCAGAAGAGCTTCTCCTCCCCGCCGGAAAAGGGTAGGGAGGGACCTGGCAACCCTCTACTACACTGTCTTACAGGCTGTGCTTTTGAGACATTTGCAGCTTGAGAACTCAGCTTTAAATGGCAGCAGGGAATGCAGAGAATGTTTATGGGGATGGGGAGCAGGTGGACAGGCAGCCGTCGCTGGACTATTTGCGCACAAAACAGCTGCGGTGTCCGCGGGAGCAGGGAGGCAGCTGAAATGGCCCAGCTTTTCCCAAGCCCCTTTCACTCTGTGCTGGCTTGTGCCAACGGAGCCCGCTGGAAATTCCAAACGGGGAATGAGCCTAGAGCAATCCCACTTCCCGCCAACTTTATTTGGAAGAGAAAACTGTAGAAACTGCGGAGGCAGCACATCAACAGGAAAGCAGAGTTTCGCCCGACCCAACATCCAGGCCGGAAGTCTGTGAAGGACTGTGACAAGTGGGCAGGGCAGAACACGACACACACAAAAAGGATACTTCTATATTTATTTCGGACAACAACACTTTCGAACATGATCGCGCAAGCTTCAACGAGTCGGTGCTCGCACTGTAGAATCTTTGGATGCTAAAAATGCCTCGCGGGGCCCAAGTACAGCTAGACAAATAAGACGTCGCATTCTATACTGGCTTTAAGGAGGGATATAAAATTACTCTGTGACTTAAAATATTTCAGTTGCAAAAAAGGGGGGGGGAGTACATGTAGATCAGTTATTCCAGAGAGTCCCTTTCTATTGAGCCAAGCGGCTGTAGAATTAGTTTACAAAAAGATGACATTCTACCAAAGTAGTAGGTGAGAAATTCGTATACAAACATGGCAGCACTCAAACCACCCCAAGAGGAAACAGCATGAGTATGTCTCTCTTTAAAAGCTTCTGATCAACTCTAGATTTATGAGGACAAAAAAATCTGCACAGGTGAACCAAGACAGTGATCAGGTGGTCGAAGACCAGGTATGTTGCCTACACAATTGTCCCTGGGCCACCTCTGCCCCTGATCACCACACAAGGACTGTTTGGTCTCTTGACGGCCGATCTTGCACAATGTTAACTTCAGCTGCCGCACATTCAACTTTGGCCCAATTTCAGATTTCTGGGCAAAGAAAAGCTTAAGCAAACCATTATTAGGGACAATTTGGCAGCCTCCCGTCAAGGAAAGGGAGTCGCTAAATGCTCACGCAAAAATATTTAAAACAGGGAAGGGTTAGGGTGGAGAGAGAATCCTTCTTGCCCCCACCCCTTCTTGCATCTGCAGTTTTCCGCAAAGAGCCCTGGCTTTAGCGAAAAAAGAAAGCGGAATGCAGAATCAAGCCAAGCTCGGTGAGAAATCGAAGACGACTAACTTAATGTCGTTCCTTCTCTTCCTACTGCAGAGGATGCAAATAAGGTGAATGCTGATGAATGTCTGGATGTTTCTCTTTACAGGAGCAAGAGAAAGCAAAGGGATATAAAAACTTACTTGGAGGGGGTGGGGGGAATGTCCTAGCCTTTACAATTCTTTTAAAAGTTCTTATAATTTCTGGTTAAAGACCCATCCAGCCACAAAAGGAGTGCTTGGGGTAGGGTTTTTTTTTGCTGACTTATGAACAGTATTTCATGAATTCACCGCCTATGCATAAATACTAGTAAGTACAGGATTTATGGCTCACTTTGCATGCATGAGTGAGAGCAGAAACACACAGACAAAAAGTGATGTGCAACGTGCCTCCGACAGTACTGCTGGGTGCGCGCACACGCTCCACCACGTGGGGTGGGACAGACGGCAGCTCCCGCATCCAGATGTGTGGAGGAGACCCCAGTTTCCGTCCCAAGTTCCGTAAAACCTGTTCTGGGAAAACCACCGGTTTTTGCTGAATTACGTCCGAGTTGCAACGCAGGAATCCATGTATTCTGCTTCGTCGTGCTGCAATGCCTAATTGTACTCCGCAAACATTACCCCTAAGAAATCTGAATGCAAGATAAATACGATAAAAAAACAACAACAGTTCACTGTCGTAATTCGGTAACCACAATGAAGCTGAACCTTGCCCTTAGGACGCCTGAAGCAGAAGTGCATCTCGGCAACACAAAACTAGGCGTCGTGGAGGAGGAGGAGGAGGCTTGGATTCAGCACCGTTTCCAGAAGGGCTATAAAGTGCTCAAAAATTCTTTGACCTGGAAGAAAAAAACCCCAAAGTGCCAGTTGATAACTCTTTGTGACTGGTCGCTAAATCTCAAGTTCTATTGAACTGCCACCACCCCACTAAAACCTGGGCGTTGGATTCATGTCTCTTAGGTAAGGAGAAATCCTAACCCGGATGGGCCAGGCTAGCCCGATTTCATCAGATCTCGGACGCTAAGCAGGGTCGGCCCTGGTTAGTACTTGGATGGGAGACCACCGAGGAAGTCCGGGGTCGATACGCAGAAGCAGGCAATGACGAACCACCTCTGTTCATCTCTTGCCTTGAAAACTCTATGGGGTCACCATAAATCTGTTGTGACTTAATAGTACTTAATTATTGCCCTGACCTAATTATGGCCTTAATTATACCTAATTAATTATGACCTAATTATGACCTTAATTATACCTAATTAAGGGTATTGAAAACAGATCAACCTATATCATAATGCCCCTATATAAATCAATGGTGCGACCTCATTTGGAATACTGTGTGCAATTCTGGTCACCACACCTTAAAAAGGATATTATAGCTTTGGGAAAAGTGCAGAAAAGGGCAACTCGAATGATAAAAGGGTTGGAACACTTTCCCTATGAGGAAAGGTTAAAGCGCTTAGGGCTCTTTAGCTTGCAGAAACGACAGCTGAAGGGTGACATGATTGAGGTTTATAAGATTATGCATGGGATAGAGCAGGTAGAGAAAGCGGTACTTTTCTCCCTTTCTCACAATACAAGAACTCGTGGGCACTCCATGAAATTGCTGAGCGGTTGGGTTAGAACGGATAAAAGGAAGTCCTTCTTCACCCAAAGAGTGATTAACACATGGAATTCACTGCCACAGGAAGTGGTGGCGGCTACAAGCATGGACGGCTTCAAAAGGGAATTAGATAAGCATATGGAGCAGAGGTCCATCAGTGGCTATTAGCCACAAGGTATAGATAGGGACTCTGGGGCAAGTGATGCTCTGTCATCTTGGTGCTTGGGGGGGGGGGTCAACAGTGGGAGGGCTTCTAATGTCCTGGCCCCACTGCTGGACCTCCTGATGGCACTGGTATTTCTGGCCACTACAGAGTGTTGGACTGGATGGGCCTTTGGCCTGATCCAACATTGGCGTCTCTTATACCCGGGGGGGGGGGGGCTAACATAACTCAGCTGCTGCTTGACAGCACTTTGTATTCCCCGTATGTTCCCCAGAGAGCACTGCGATCAGGATCCCAAAACCGCCTGGACCTGCTCCCTGGCCCAAAGGAAGTCAGGTTGATGGCAACCAGGACGAGGGCTTTTTCGTTTGTAGCTCCGTCCTATTGGAACGAGCTTCCTGCCGAGATCAGGGCCCTGCGGGACTTGTCACGGTTCCGCAGGGCCGTGAAAACAGAACTTTTCAGGCAGGCGTTCCGCTAGGAGCGACATCTTACCAGCAGGGCCCTGTGTGAACTCCGATCCAACATGACCTAGCGCGGTGGCACCGCTAAATGTGTCCCTAAACTGCACTTTATTTTTTATCGCCATCGAATGAATGTTTTATATTGACCTGTCTGTGTTTTTAAATGATGTATTTTATTCTATTACTGTAAAACGTATACTGCTTATCAGTTTTCGGAAGCTGCCCTGAGCCCGCCTGGCGGGGAGGGTGGGGTAAAAGTGAAATAAATAAATTAATGAATCAAACATCTCTGGGCCTGAAGACATGCCTGTGCCTTGCATGTCCTTTCCAAGCATTTGAATTAACTTTTATATGGACTGCTCGGAAGCACTGCCAGACTTAGATGGAAGACGGTCGCTGCCCTCGACCGAACACCAGGCAGAACATCTCTGCCTTACGTCCCCTGCAGAATGGCAAAGGGTCCCGCCAGGGGACAGATGTTATTTGGCAGAGAGCTCCCCCTACCCCTAGCCCTGGCCCTAGTTGAGGACAGCTGGATGTCTCTCAGGCCAGGGACCACCAGGATGTTCTTATCTCGAAAGCATAAAGCTTTCCTGGGGGCCTACCAGGAGAGGCCGCTGTAACACACGCCCACATTATCTCCAGTAAGTTCTCGTCTCTTGGCCATGGGGACAAAAGGAACCTCCCTTAGCATATAGAGAGCTGCCCATCGCTACTGAAGAGAACTGAGAAGATGGCCAGCATACCCCTCTGCGGCACAATCCCCATTCGAGTGCACGCGGGGTTCTCGATCCGGGGGACAATGCCAAAAACTCTCCGCCAGACTTTCCTGTTTACCTTTTCGATCATATTTTCATGCTTGTCTTTGTTGCCTTTGAAGTCTTCGTTCACGTCCAGCGAGAGGACTGGGACCTCTTGCAGGTAGTCAAAGTCCGTTCTGCAAAGAGATTCAGCAGTAGTAGTTGGAAACTGGAGACACAGGAGGGGCTGCTCACACGTTACGGAGAATGCGCGGGGGCAACCTCCATAGGCATGCACGCACCAGTTCGAAAGAACGTTCACCTGACAAATGAGCCACAAGGGGCTCTGGGGCAAGTGATGCTCTGTCTTCTTGGTGCGGGGGGGGGGTCAACAGTGGGAGGGCTTCTAATGTCCTGGCCCCACTGGTGGACCTCCTGATGGCACCTGGTATTTCTGAGGACAGAAAGGGAAAAGGGAAAGAAAAACTGAACCTAAAACTTAGAATTCAGAACCCAAAAAGGTTAGTTAAGGATCAAAGAGGGCCAACTCTAAAAATCAGACAAAAATATACATTTATTTATTACACACAAATTAAAATAGCAAAGAAGGGCCCATTCATACCTCATAAACAAACATATATATAACAACATACGAGGGCTAATGAAGTAGACCTTAAGGAACCTTCATTGGGAACATTTGGCTGCACAATCTTAGAAGAATATATAGTAGACCAGAGAGAAGTGCTACTGGACATGTGATTGTACTGGAGGCTTCATTTGTATTTTTGTATTTCTCTTCCTTGCCCAGTGGCTATACTTTCAACTGATCTCTGGTCTTTATTGCATATTGTGGATATGTATGATTGCCTATATTTGTATATATCAGCCTATATGTTCTATATGTATTAGACCTCTGAGGAAGGCCTGCCTAGGCCGAAACGCGTTAGGTCTACTTCATTAGCCCTTGTATGTTGTTATATATATGTTTGTTTAAGAGGTATGAATGGGCCCTTCTTTGCTATTTTAATTTGTGTGTAATAAATACATGTATATTTTTGTATGATTTTTAGAGTTGGCCCTCTTTGATCCTTAACTAACCTTTTTGGGTTCTGAACCCTGGTATTTCTGGCCACTGTGTGACACAGAGTGTTGGACTGGATGGGCCTTTGGCCTGATCCAACATTGGCGTCTCTTATGTTCTTAAACCAGTACCTAGATCAAGGTAGGGTTTAAAAATAACACACTCAGCGGTACATGTGTTGAATGTAACATGAGAATTACTCAACATATACATAAGGAAGAATCAGGGGTTCACACGACACAGATTGTAGACATGTTCACTGTTGACTTGTGAACAGGGGTAGAGAGGATACATACTGTATCATCACTAGGGGATGATGTAGTGGTGGTAGTGATTTATTGGGGGAAACAATCTATTGCCCTGACCTGGATAGCCCAATCTCATCAGATGTCAGAAGCTAAGCATGGTCAGCCCCTGGTCAGTACTTGGATGGGAGACCACCAAGGAAGACCAGGGGGGCCACCATGCAGAGGCAGGCGTTGGCAAACCACCTCTGTTAGGCTCTTGCCTTGAAAATCCTATGGGGGTTGCCATAAGTCAGCTGTGACTTGATCAGGGGTCCTTTCCTGCAGGAGCGCACAGGAGCGGAGCTCCGGCAGTAAGGAGCCCAGGGGGCGGGCACATGCAACAAGCCCCGCCCCC